CCTGCCGCAGCGTCTCCAACTTCTTCAGCTGTTCATTGTAGTTGTCTGGATTCTCGCCGTAATTCTTTAGGATGAACTGATGAAGACAGAGGGAAGTAGATAAACATGTTGTGTTTTAACACACTTTCTTTGCTTATTTGTAACCAAAACCATACAGTACTATTTAAGCTCAAGTATCTGTACCAGGACAAACATAGGAAAGCATAAATATTACTACTATTTTGTTTTATTATTATTTAATTGATTAATTGTTTGGGCCATAAAACAAGCAGAATGACAAGAACAGAGGTGAAATAAGCATCTTTGTCAAGCTGCCCTACACGACATTAGTTTTATTATTCCCTCTGTTTTTAGCCATGAGAAAATGACACCAGGAGGATCACTGGAGAGTGTCATGGGGTCAGGTCATAAATTAAATTTCCTAGCGTGCGACCACACTAGTGCCATTTTTGTAGTTTTTACTTAAACAATGACACAGCAACTTGATTGACAATATTGCACATTGACTTCCTTATGACAACTAACCTATTGTTATACACAAGCTCCAACACATAGATCACTCTATATTAACAACAAGCACATGTCAATGTTGAAATTAATGTTTAGAGAAATCATTTAACGACACTCTCTCTATTTCTAAAATTTCAACAGCTTTTAAGATGAAGTTCCAGTCAATCAGCATTTTCTAAATGAAGATGATGATGAACAGTCCAGTTGAGAATTATCTTAAAGGAGTGTAAGCAGTGACTCAGGAGGGCAAAGATCTTCTGTTATCAGATTGGGGAGTTAAGTGTAATGTTTTACAATACTTACTTAGAATATTTTCTATGATCTAATGCTGTGTCTTAATGTATTGTATTAATATGTAATTACATCTGTAATGAATCCAGTCATGATGTACGTTGACATTTAATAGTCATATTCACATTAATTTAATAAACTCTAGGATAATCATAATCTGTAGACAAACAATAAGTCAACAAATCTAAAACAACAGTAACTATTTTATTTTGAATTTTGACCCTTTGAAGCAAGGGCAAGACAGAAGTGACCATAGATGACATCTTTATTATGGCATTCCATGGTAGTAGTGTTCACACTAATGCACATGGTTTCGAGTGTGATCGTTAACAGGAAAATATTATCAACACAACTCAAATAGTAAATATGGATGCTGGTCAAAGAATACTAGAGGTCAGGGATATACTGCATAAAAAAAAAAAGTGCTTCTCTAAATAATATCATTCTATAAGTCTTTTTTGCACCAAAAACCATTACAAGACCAAAACGTTTATTTTCTTAAAATTCCTTAAAAAAAACCCCCACATTTGTCTATTATTGTTTTTCACCAACTTCTTGACATCTGATTCTAGATACTGCCACACAAGATCACCTGACTTTATTTATTTTTTACCAAATCCATTGTCTGACAGCTTTATGTACCACATTTTCATCGTTTAATATGTGCACTTTCTTTGATTTACAAAACTCTGCTCCCTGAAAGTATTTAATCATAGCTGTTTTACTTTCTGCTCATTTCTTTACAGGGTTATCCTGTGTAAATCTCAGCTTCTTCACCTCTATAAACTCCAGCTCGGACTCCTGCAGCGTCATTGTCTCCATTCAAAAATAACTGCAGGTCTCACTGACTACTTTCATTAAAGGTATTTACGTTCATCTTAAGATCCATCTACCTCACTGTGGCCTGTCCCTCAATTTCTACTTAATTATTTCACACCTGGTATAAGTGTCATGGCAGATCATTTGCTTAGATCTAACCCTCAAGATTCACAATCGTCTTTGTATTAGTGTATTTACATGTTATTAAACTGTATTACGTGTATCTACTTCCGATGCAAATAATAATAACTCAGCAAAATTAATTTACGTTATTTTTTTTATTATTATTATTTTCGACAAAGGTCAACCCTGGTGCTGCGTTTAGGATCATATGACATTATGTGTTTACAAAATGTGTATGTCGTCATTGCGGCGAGACTCGTTCGTCTTCCTAAAACAGTGGATTTATTTATCTGCGATGTCGCAGTTTGTTTGGTTAAATTCTGACATAATCGTTTTTAAGGAGGTTAGTATTAACTTGTGCTTCTGGTCTGGTTATGAGTTAGCAGGTAGCTAACATTAGCAAACAATAGGCGGTGGTCATGAGGTTTAGCAAACACAGATTCGGCGTGTTCTGGAAAATTCTCCATCACCGACAGCTAAAATCGTTTCTAATACGCTTATTTTAATTAGTGTTATCCAGTGGCCTATAATTCTTCGTGTGCTGGTTTGCCTGACTTTCGACCCGTGTGAGTCCTGTTGCTCCACTTCTTTGCCCAGCCCTGCTCACCTGCCTAACGGACGGGCTGAACTGGAACTCTCCTGCCTCTTTCAGGTCCAGCCAAATCATCGGCATCCGGGGCACCGCCTCCATCGCGGCTGTCCTTCAACGGAGTGCTGTCAGCCGCAAAGAAGTAGAAAAAAACAGGCAATCGCTGTCTTGACGCTGACGGGTTTGTAGAAGAAAGCCTTCTTCTTCCCTTAAAAACTGTGTCATGTATCAATTTACACTTCAACCGGAATCTGACGTCCAACGCTTCCGCGAACGTGCCGCATGTGATTGTGGGAAATGGGGTTTTCCTTCATTTAACTGAAAACAAGAGTCAATATTGATATGATTTTAGGTTTGTTAAATATAAAACATTTATAAAATATTTACATTTATATTCCTAATGAACAAATATCGATAACCCATGTTGTGTAATTTTATAATTCAATTAGTGCCTACTTTGAAGATCAAAGTATATATCCTGCTAAGATAAATTGCACTTATTTTAATATCCTCTTAATGTGTTCTAGCTCCTGTTTTACTTGAGAAACTTTTATTTTTCAAGACTTTTCCAGTAACTTATTAGTATTGTATATTACTGTTGTCATTGAATGATGGTCCAAAAAGGTATCTTTTCTTTCAATTTAAACCATAACCACATGTTCATTGCTATGCATTTTAAGGCAAATTAGTGCATTTTCTTCTTTATTTTTGAGAAACTTTAATTTTGAAGACTTTTTCAGAAACTAAGTACTGTATACAGTATATTTATTTATACGCCACGGCACTGATGCGTTTCTTTATTTTGTCAGCAGATGGCAGTGATGTATTTATTCAGCTGCTCGAAAACTGCTATACATTCATTTAAAGTATTCTTTACGCTTAAACGAGTTTTGTCGCTCTTTCACTAAGAACCAGAAATCGTCAGTGCATATCAACGTGCCTGGACTTCATCATAGTGCAGAGGCATTCGACGGCGTGCAATATCAAATATAATATGAATCACCAGAATTATTAAGTTTTAAAGAAATAGGAATTTGTAAGTCTGTTCCAATGATGATAAAGTTTGAAAAGCACACAAACATAGACTATATACACATCAACAAATATAGATGACAGTGTTGTCTTCAGAAATTATATAATATATATTATAAATAAATAATGAAGGTAACTTTGACAGGTTTATTGTATAGGCCACAAATGTCTCCACAAAGTCAAAAATCATTAGTTTACCTGAAACACCTTATAAATAACCTTGTATGCCTCCCTTTATACAAGTACAGAACCATACCATTTATATTTACTACCTATGTGTATAATTCAATTTATGGTTCACTTTGTCTTTTTAATAATATGTTTTCATTATAATAATTATTTATTTAAAACTTAAATGTGTCCATTAAACAGACACAGATGCTCCCTCTGACTTTCATTATCATTTCTATATATAAAACATTCATTTATAATTTACTGCTCAGAGACGCGCTGTTCACCACTAATGCAGTTTTATTAAATTCTCCTCTCCCACTGCTACTGCCTTCTACCACCTGTCTTGCTTACACAACTAGAAGATAACAAATTGGAGTCTGGAGATAAAATGACTCATATACACAGACCTAGTCTGTACAAAATGTTGGTTTTGTAGCCCACATTTTTATGTCCCACACCGGATGCCTGTATTTTAAAATGACTAAAGAAATTCAGGCATTTGCCTGCTTAATTTTTTAAAGCCTTTGCACCTCCAGCCATTGATAGATGCATTTTAAACAGGCCTGAGTAAAGCTGACAGTGTGTGGATGATAATTTAGATTTTTAATACCGCAGTGTCAAAACTGGTAGATTACCTGTCTCCTACAGATGTATTAGAAAGAAAGAGGAGATGTCTGTGTCTGTGAACTCCCACATAAACTTCTGTTGCAGTCAGTGGGAAAAAAAACTTAAGCAGTGGACAGTTATTGTTGGTAGTAAATCCGACGCGATGCATTAGATAAGATTTGTATTTTGTTATTAAGTAATATAGCCCCTGGATTTATGTGGAGTTCAGAGATTCACCTACTGGATTTCTTATGTTTCTGCAAAGCAACCAAAGACAAAACACGAGTTTTAGCTGCTTGTGGACCATTGAGCAGAATAATAGGGTCATTATCATGAAATCTTGGTTTCAAAGATTCAAGACAAGAAGTTTAAAAAAAAAAAACGTATTATTTTAAACTATTAATTACAAAGTCTGTAGTGGTTATTATTGTTGGTTTTATTTAATAGCTTTTTGAACATATTTTCTAAAATGTTTTTGAAAATCTCATTACCGCAATAGTCTGAAAACTTCAAGACAGAAAACAATTATATCTGAACATGTCAAATACCACCAAAAAGAAGTAAGGGAGTTTTTAGCACAAAATAATCACTT